CACCACGCCTGGCTAATTTTTCTTATTTTTTGTAGAGAATGAGTCTTGCTGTGTTTCCCAGGCTGGTCTTAGACTCCTGGCCTCAAGCACTCTTTCTGCCTCAGCTCCCCAAGTTGCTGGGATTATAGGCGTGAGCCACCATACCTGCCCCCGGCTAGTACTCTTGATGTGAAGGGAAGCCATGAACTAGGACAGTAGCTGGGAATGATACAGGCTCAAGGAAGGGTTTGTTTTCTTAAAGCATGTTTGTGTGATCCTAGGAATGTCCAGTAAAGAGGGAGGTGTTCATATCTGGAGACAAGGAATAGTTAAAGAAGTGAGATCCTATGCATGTAACAAAGAATTCAGTCCAGAACATGAGGAAAAGAACTTGTTCTCGTTTGTAACAGAGCCTTTCCACTGTGAGGAAGACGACAGAGAAGACCAGTACAGGCGATTTTGCATATTTGCAGTTGGTCTCAGAGTCTTCCATTTTCTCAATAAGTCATTTGAGAAGATCATGCCATCACTGGAAAGAGCAGGTCAGGTGGGAAGGAGATTGTATAAAAATTTTCTTGGAGAGTGGAAGCTCAGATGAGAATGCAGATCAGTGTTGGGCTTCGTTGAGGTGGACAGCTGTGAGCATAACATGAAAACAGGTAACACGTGGGTGTATTTCTTTTGCAACGCGCAGCTGCTCAGGTGCAGCCAAAGAGAAAGTGGATGGCCAGATTGAAACAAGTTGTGGTTTTATCACACAAGTGGGTTGGGGGGAGAGAGGGATTAGGGGACTGAAGTACCTAATTATGGTGACGGGAGGGGGTATTTAAGCCAGTAAAGAAGGGGATGAGATGGGGCACGGGTGACGGATCACGCAGCAGTGGTAAGGGCGACTGATTCACAGTAGGTGTGGTGGATGGAGCTTTTGAAGGATTCCAGAGTAAGGGCTTGAAGGATGGGAGGCAGTGGTCAAGAATTAGGTGTTCCACTCAGGCATTTGTCCATAGATTGATTCACTGGTGATCAAAAACTTAATTGACCATCCACCCCTTGCCAGGCACTCCTGGAGGTCGTGGGTAAAAAGGTGGTCAACATCAGAGTCTGCATAAATGGAGTCTACATTCCAGGAGTAGGATACAGACCACAGACTTGCATAAATTCCAGGGCTAAGCTCTCTGAAGGGTAAGGCGCATGACGGGAGCAAGAGAGACCAGGTGTGCTGTTTTAGAAAGGGCGGTCAGGAAGTTCTCTCAGCGGAAGTGACAGTGGAGCAGGGACCTGAGTGAGATGGAGGAGTGAGGGAGTCATGGAGACATCTGGGGGAGAGCGTGCTGGTGCGAAAGGCTCCAAGGCGATAGTGACTCGGTGTGTTTGAGGAGGAGGAGTCCTGTGGGCAAGAGCAAGAGTAGAGCGAGATCTAGCTCTCTGGGAGGCCAGGAGTTCAAAACCAACCTGAGCAAGAACAAGACCCTGTCTCTATTATAAATAGAAAGAAATTAATTGGCCAACTAATACATACTAATATATACCGGCCATTGTGGCGCATGCCTGTAGTCCCAGCTACTTGGGAGGCTGAGGCAGGAGGATTGCTTGAGCCCAGGAGTTTGAGGTTGCTGTGAGCTAGGCTGACGCCACGGCACTCACTCTAGCCTGGGCAACAAAGCGAGACTCTGTCTCAAAAAAAAAAAAAAAAAAAAATAGTAGAGGGAGGGACAGTGGTGGGAGGTGAGAGGTGGGGGCTCCTGTGTGAGGTGATGAGTTCGATTTTACTCTGAGGGTGACGGGAAGCCACTGGAGGGTTTGTAGTAATCTTTGAAATCGACCCTCTGGAGGTGGTACAGTTCCTGATGGTGACCTATTCAAGGGTGTGCCATGGGTGGGTGGGGGGGAATGCTGGCTGGAGGCAAGGACTCAGGGTCTGAGATGAGTCACCTACCTGTTGGTTTGCTCTCCACATGGATGTCAATGTCACTGAGAATGACCATAGGCGTAGAGGTGGACTATTTAGTGAATGGCAGGGCGAAGGAATGACTAGAGATTGGTGGGTGGCAGAAAAGCGGGGATCTGTAGGAGTCTAGCGGGTGGCAAGAGTTTTCAAAGGAGCGGATGGCTTTGCAGGAGAACAAATCATTTGGAAGCGTTTGTGAGGATCTAGGGAGTTACCCACTTCCTGTCCCTCAAATGTGTGGAATTGACATAAAATGCCTGCATCTCGGAGGATCACAAGAGGAGGAGATCCTCCAGGGGCAGTCAGATTGCCCTTAATGCAAGGAGCTGAAGTTGCCTTTAGAGAGGTTAGAACAGGGGTTCTCAACAGCCTGGGGTTATCTTGCTCCCCAGGGGACATTTGGCAACGTCTGGGGACATTTCTGTCTGTTACAGCTGCAAGTGGGGTGGTTGTGCTACTGCCCTCTAGTGGCGATGGCCAGGGTTGCTGCTAACTGCACAGGATAACCCCCTCCCCCCTAACCCAGAAATATGTGGTTCAAGGTCAACAGCGTTGTGGTAGAGAAACCCTGGATTAAGGATTTAGGGTTATTTGCTCATCATAGAACTGGAGTTCCAGCAGGTCATACTCTCTCTCTTCCACATTGTTCTGGAACCCCTTTGATGATTTTTTGGCTTGATTTGCACTTAACACATTTATTCTATCACGCTCACTCACACACAAGCAAGCTCCTGCTTCCCTTATTTTCAATCCTACATAGTATCTGAGTGGTGGGAAAGAACTAATGAGTTTTAGGACTATTTCCAGTCATCCCATAAGATGAATACAATGGGTATACTGTTATGATAATTACTCACTTGAGAATTGAGGGATGCCGTTTGTTTCCTAGGTTCCAGTTAGATGCCGGTAAACTGAATTTCTTTAGGGGAAAAACCCTTTATTTTCCCCAAATAATTCCTGGGAGACCAAAGAATATCCTCTAATGATTTGAAAGAATGGAGAAAATAGAGAGGTTTTTTTTTTGCCCTGCTTTGTCACTTCAGATACGAAAGGCAGATTTTGAGATTAGTTTTGTTTTACAGACAGAAACGGAGGCATATATTAATACATTTCGTGACTAGTGTCCTGATAGAAGTGAACATTTATACGTTTGAAATTTAGTGGTTGTAACTGAAGTATAGAGCTGGCCTGGTTTTGCGCAGCCCTGAGGTAAGAATGGTTTATACATTTTCAAAGTTGTTCAAAACCAAACCAAACCAGTGAAAAATATGCAATGGAATCCTTATGTGGCCCACAAAGCCTGAGACATTTACTATTTAGCCCTTTCCAGAAATAGTTTGATGGTATAGACCAGGCGTCCTCAAACTACGGCCCGCGGGCCCCATGCAGGTGTTTTTGCCCGTTTGTTTTTTTATTGCAAAATAAGATGTGTGCAGTGTGCATAGGAATTTGTTCATAGTTGTTTTTTAAACCATAGTCCAGCTCTCCAACGTTCTGAGGGACAGTGAACTAGCTCCCTGTTTAAAAAGTTTGAGGACCCCTGGTATAGACTTATATTTCTTTTCTAGTTCTGACCATGATGTGAATGCACCTGTCACAGAATCATACCATTCACTGTATTCATGCGGAAATCCTAAAAACATTTATGGATGCTTTTTATGTGCAGGTGGTCAGGTTTGCAAGATAGATGGCGGCCATCAGCGAGTTTATGTCTTAGTGAGGGAAGGAGATGTTAAACAAACGATTTCACAAATAATTAATTAATTAATCAAAATAATTAATTGCACAAAGGAGCTATGAAGGATTCCAAAAGAGGGTGGAGGGCATCACTGAGGGCTTTTCTGGATGAATGATGTTGATCTAGATTTGAAGAAGGAATCTGCTAATTAGACAGAGGAGCAGTGACAGGGCAAGAACTGAGGAACGCTTGTGGCCCCGGAAGGAACCCTAGAGATTTTCTATTTCTTGTGCCACTGGTTATGAACATGGAAACAAGCTCCATACATTTCTGAAGGTTAGAGACGAAGTAGAGTCAGAAATAGGTTAGGGACTGTACCCGTGGCCGTCACCTCTGACTAACAGTAGATCCAAATGGTGACCAATAAAACCCCAGCGCTGGGGCCCTGCTGCTGACAATGCTGTTCTCCCAGGTGACACTCAGGCACAGCCAGGACTGAGAACCCCTGGACTAGGTAGACCCAGGTCCTCTCGGGGCCTCAGCCAGTGTCTTCTCATTGTGCCTCTCTTTCGGGAAAATAATTAAAAACTTATGTATGGATCTACCCTAGAGTTATATTTCCAATGAACTTCTCAGAAAAATTTGAGTTTCTCTATCACTTTTCTTTTCAGGGCGACTATTTTTGCCAGACAGCTCTGTTCACTTCTCACGGGTTGGTCCCTTGGCCGGTCTCCCTGTCTCCTCATCTTCTGTCCCCTCCCCATTGCTATGCCGGAGACTGTGAATATCAGTCACTGACATTTCTGAGCCTAAATGGTGGCGTGTTGGGTTACTAACTGCTTCTTTAGAAAATCATCTGTAATTAAATCCAAAAGGGTTTTAACCTTTTGCATCCAAAGTTAAATCCAAAACTGAGGATTTACCAGTTAAACCCAAAAGGGAGCTGGGCGCGGTGGCACATGCCTCTTGTTCCAGCTTCTCTGGGGGCTGAGGCAGGAGGATCACGTGAGCCCAGGAGTTTGAGGCCAGCCTGGGCAACATAGTGAGATCCTACCATCTCAAACAAAGCCAAACCAACAACAAAAACTATTCAAAAAGGTTGGGGACTTCTTAGATAGATGGAAGCTGTACAACCCATAACTTGGCCCATTTTCTTTTGAGGCAGGACGTATTGGGGGCCAGGAGAGCAAACCAGATGGGTGCTTTTCCTGTGTGGCATCTCCGGCCACTGACTGCAGAGCCTTCTGCAAGGCTTAGAGGCGCCTCACTGTGCAGCCGGTTGCCTTGGAAACGGCGTTGCTCCCTGGCAGTGTTTACCAGGCCTCCCTCCTCTGGGAGAGCTGGGAGCCAGGGGACGTGCCCCATCTCCCTCTAATGACTGTGTTTCATCCGTAGGGCGAACTCTGTTGGAGAAGCTGTTCAGCCAGCAGGAGAACGGGCCGCCAGAGGAAGCGGAGAAGTTTTGCTCCCGGATCATTGCCATGGGGCTTCTGCTGCCTTTTAGCGACTGCTTCAGGGAACCGTGTAATCAGAATGCCCAGTCGAGTTCAGCCTCGTTCGACGTAAGTAGGGGAATTCACCGCTGTCCGAGAGAGGCACGTTTGCCGTCCAAACAGCAGCTGCCATGGGCCTCTGCCCAGTCACCCTGTAATTTAAAACCAACATGTGATGCGAAGCCTTCCTCCTCTCGGCCACTCGGAAGCTCACTTTGTTTCTACACTTGTTTTTTTTTTTTTTTCTTTTGCACTAGAGTATTAAGTATAGTTGCCAAACCTCCTTTTCCTAACAGATGACTACTCGGTAGTTCTCTAGCCTGCTTCCATCACTGATCATTTGAAAGTGGCTCTAAGTCAGTATTTCTGACTTTGCTGGTCGTAGACATTCCTGCAGAAGCAGCTCGGCAGGGCAGAGGTGTTCATCCCAGCGGGGCCACAGGTTTCCACGGGCCCTAGAACGCGGTTTCAGCGCGTTCCTCACCCACGCACCTGCTGGAGGCCGGCGGGACGCAGCACCGTCTGCAGCTCCCGCTGGCCCAGAGGGTCAGTGCTGCCCAGCGGTCATTCAAAAGGCATGTCCGTGTCTCCTAACGAGTGTCAGCACAGCTGGGCTGTCTTTTTCAAGCCAGGGTGTGGCTAAACTTTCTCAGGTATGCGGTGCCTGTGTGTGGCGTTGGTTGTGATAAGCGTGCATCTGAAACCTAGACATGTGAGACTTCTCATGTAGGAAATTCTCGTGAGAATAGTGAGGGTCTGGTGGGTTCACTTGTACAGAGCTCAGGATTTCTGAGTATCTGGGGGTGATGGGTTCTCCTCTGCATGGGTTAATTGCATTTGCTCCATTGCTGTCAAATGCACTGTCTTCTCTTGTCAGCCTTCTTGTTCAAGGAGCAAGATAGTGATGAGTTCTGAAAGACAATGAAAACGAACCCTGGCAGAGGTCAAGATGTTATAGTACATAATAAAGTGTTTATTTTTGCCTGTTTTTCTTCTTCCTCTTCTTTACGTGTTACAACCTGCAGCCTTTTTCTATCTCTTTTCAGTATCAGGCAAACAAATCACATAAAATATTCTGGGGTCTTCTTGATACTTCCCATTTGAAAGAAAATCCCCCAGGTTGTGCTGTGTGACTTGTAAAGCTTCCTTTTTGAGATTTACATTTGTTTCCTGTGATAATTTTCTGAATGACATGGCAGCTAATCACGACCAGGGTAGGTCTTTTTCTCCTATGGGAAGAATTGGATTATTTAAATTTTTTCCTCCTGTCTCCTCTCTGAGAGGTCTGTGTTATTGAAGACATAGAACGTGAGGATGATGGTAGGTTGAGTGCTGTACAGCTGCATTCTAGAAGATGTTATCAGTTTGGCAAACCTATATATAGTAAAGACAAAGCCAAACACTAGCCATGTCTAGCACTGGCTTTTTGATTAAAAATTATTCCCAAATTAATTGCATTTTCCTCCCTTAAAACCCAGAAGTAAACAGTCTTGTCGGTCTATAAATGTGGGATTGGAATAAGCTGAAAAGAATAGGGTAATCTCACTTCTCTCTTTCTCTATTATTTTTTTTTAAATCAACTAACCTGGTTGGTTGGTTTTTATACCTCTCTCCTTGCCCTCGCGGTAGAGACTAGTAACTCTTCCCAGTCGTGTTATTTTGGGCAGCTGGGTGTGGTAGAGAGAGTGAAAAGCAAACAACAAAAAAGTAAAATCCCTTCATGTTTTGTGCAGGATTTCCTCATGATGGGGAGTTTCTTCCCTTGAACTTGTTGTGACTACATTTTGTCCTCACTCTATTTGTTGGCCGTGTAGTGTCTCCGTACTCTCCCCCGCACATGGCCAAACCGAACACAATAAAGAAGAAATTAAAGGTACTCTCATGAGAAATGTTATTCCGTATACTTAAATGTGTTGAGTGGATGCACAGTGCAGGAGTTTCTTCAAAACCTGAGGTGGTGACAATGTAACAATACAGGGGGTTATGAAGCCACAGGTGTCACTGGGGGATGGGGAATAACGTGCTTCTCTATGGAGAGAGAAATTTCTGATAATTAGTCTCTCTGCTGATTTCCAGAAAATAGCTGTTGGGAGCTTTTCTAACCAACAATTCCCTTGAGGTCAGTTGTGCTTCGAGACAGAACAGCCTGTGGGAATAAGCTCATAGCTGGCACTCTTCCTAGCCTGGACTTTGTGACTTTGTTCCCTTCCCTAAGAGCACCCTCTCCTCTCACCTCTCTCCCCTGTTCCTCCTTCCTTCTCCATTTCCATGTGTAATTAGAGCAATGGAGAGTTTTGATCTGGGGCTCTTACTGATGCAGTTGATGGATTAGCCTACTTCAGTCAGCCCTTCTGTTTTTAGTTCCATGCTATTTTTAAACATGTTTAGGGCCTAACATTTTGCTTTGTAGAGTGCTATAGAAAATATAGAGAGACTTCATGTTTTTCTTTTCCATTTTAACTTGATTAAGGTTTCAAGAACTTTCAAAGACTAAGGATGGCTTTGAGTGATCATGTTCACTCATTCGCAAATGTTTACCAAATGCATTCTACAGGCCAGCTAATGTCTTAGGCTGGGAGAGATGTTAGTGAGCAAGAGAATGTGTTCTCCTGAAATGTACATCCTATTCAGGGTGGGGAGAGACAGATACAAAAAAAAAAAAAGCATAAGTTAATTCTATCGGATTCTAGAACGTGCTATGAAGCAAAAGTGGAATGATACGATTGAGTGAACGGGTTGCGAATGCAGAGGGATCATCTCTAGGGACCCATGAGGCCAGGTCGGAGGGAAGGTTGTTCCAGGCAAGTTGTCAAGGGGCAAGTACATAGGGCACAAGTGTGACCCACACAGGCACAGCCCAGGGGCTGTGTAGCCGAAGCTTAGTGAGATGAAGACAAGACAGATCTCACGAGCCAGAACAGGCAGGATCTTAAAAGCCATGGAAGGAATATGGATTTCTTTTTTAAGTGGAAGGTTTTAGGCAGCAGAGGAACACATTGGCTTTGTTTCATGTGGATCATCCAGCTTGGTCTTTGAATAATAGAGTGGAGGGCAGGAGTAGATGCAGGAAGGCCAGGTAGGCTATGACAGTGGCTGACTGAGAGACAGTGGTGAGGGAGGTGGAGAAGGGTCCATGGGTTGGGATGGGTTCTGGAGATGGGGCTGATGGGACTTCTGGTGGGTCAGACAAGGGGACAAGGGAACAAGAGGAAATCAAGGACGATGTCTTCATTTCAAGAAGCTGGGTAGAGAGTGGTGCCATTTACTGAGATGGAGAACACAGGTCCATTTTAGAAGAATAATGTTCTAAGGACAGAACTGGTGCTCATTCTATACTCTTCTGAAAGGAGATTCAAATTACTTAGAAAACTAGTAACTAGTTATTTCCTGACAAACATTAGCTTTTGCCTTTTGCTGAGCAGAATGACATTGACTTCATTAGCCAATCAAAATGAGGGTCATAATACTTAAAAATTTTTCAGCCATCAAAAGAACTGGCTTCTATGAGACAAGAGTAAAAATTGAGCTGCTTTATGGGCCTAATGACGTTGTTGCATCATCTCTTTCCATTTCCATGACTAATCTGGGGACACACAAACTATTGGCATATTTCTTTTTCTCTGATAATATCCTCGTATTGACTTTTTGCCTTTAGGGGGAGAGGAATGGGTTTATGTCTCAAATAAAATTCTAAGCTAGACCTATTCCAAAGCTAGTAAGAGAAAACACAGGGATAATGCTACTGCTTCTGCTTAGTAGATTAGATTGTTAAGCTGTAGATCATGGGGTTTTCTTGTGGTCTAAGGAAAGACTTCTTTTTTTCCTTCCGGAACCTTTTCTAGTCATTTTTCTCCTGCTTTTATTCATAATGAGATCCCCTTTTCTGGGTCATATTCATCAGCAGCTGTTTTCCAGCCAACCACACTTATCTTACATAATAGTTGATTACCCATTAACAAACTCTTCTAGGATTTCTTTAATCATAACTAGGGCAGATATCACATTATCCATTTCCATCACCAGGAGTCAAGCAAGTTAACTTGGCTCAAGTGTGTTTTTCAGGGGTATGTGATTATAACTTTAATCTTTTATGAATTTATCTTACATGTCTGTCTAGTGGGATATTTTTGGATGCATGTTTTTGGCTGCTGGATTTGTTTGGGTTTAGCTGATCTGCTGATTTTTTTAAAAATATGTGGTGCTCTTCATGCTTGCAAGATGGGCAAAAGCTCCTTGGTGTGTATGTCAGTGGACATAGGTTTGGGTGAGCGTGTGAGTGAAGCTACAATTAAAGACAAGGAAGACATGGAAATTCAGGCTAAAAAGGAATAAAAGAAACAAGATCTTGAACCTGTTGAAAGACAAGTCATTAACCAAAACCAGCAGCAGCCACTCTCAGAAAACTAATGGAATGTAGTCTAATCATTGTCACCATAGGCAGAAAGACGACTTAGGTGAACAAACAGAAATGATTATTTGCATGTGAGTTCATTTTTTTTCAGAACAGGAAGAATACTTAGATGCTATTTAGTCAAGCCCACACAAATCTTTTCTGAGAAGCAGTAAAAAGCCTTGACATAGCTTTCAGCTCTAAGAGCATATACGTTCATATACATACATCTATGTAAAGTTTGCCATATATTTATTTTTAAAATATTTTTGTACAGCATCAACTCTCAAAATTTTTTTCTTTTAAAGGTGGCATTAAAACGATAACTTTTCAGACTAGCTTTTAGAATTATTTTAGTTACATTTCCTTGAAGACATCTTTATAATCTCAATGTAGAAGTCATTAGTAAATATAAGATTTTATTTATCAAAATTCATATTAGCCATGTTGACTTGCAGTGTTTTATGTTTGCTGATTCCCTTATTGACACTGCTCTTGACTTTGCCTTTTAACTGTCACCCACAGTGAGGATTTAGCTCAGTTATACTCCTATGTTGTCCTTCCCCATTTCTTCCAATATAGTTAATATTGCTATTTCTAGTGTCAATTTAATGATAATTTTTTGAACTTTAAAAAATATGCTTATGACTTTTTGCAGTTGTTCATCAACTTTAGATAA